TCTGAGTTTCAGAACTCTTGATCTATTCTTTAGATAATGCTGCTTGTTCTCTAAGAAAAAAAAGTGGTGGTAGTCTAATAGTAGTACTTATTATTACCCAACTGTGCTTCGTAGAGTACAAATAATGAGCAAGACGAGTACAAATATTATTCGACATTTGTGCTCCAGAAGTATTCTCAAAACTCGCCCGCACTGAAATAACAATTTGGCTTGTTGGATATTAAATCTCTTATTGGATATTTTGTTGTGTAGTATTGCTGAGTATTTTTACTTGTTGTTTGTATTTTGACTTGCCCTACAGGCTTGTCAAAATGCGGCACAACTTTTAAAAATACCCAGCGATGCTACTCAATTAAACGCCCAAGAAGATCTATGTAGTCTTGATTTAATCTCACAAAATAAGTTTTATAATTATGGTATGTTATAAGGCTATGCAAGCTAAACTTATGATACAACCTTGTATTAAGAAATTAGACTATTAACATAAGAATCTTTAAAATGGTCTGCATCATCTTTGGGGCAATGACAAGATTTTCTTCTATAGTTATATTTTCTCTTTTCTCTTGGGGATTAAATTTCTAAGAAGATGGAAATCGAACTTTGGCACTTAATAGAGAGTGTTTTTATCATGTTTTTCTGGAGGTCATGTGTGTGGTACTAGTCTTACTAGTATGCTCTGCTCAAGTTAGCCGCAAACTTACCTGTAATTATCCCCCGATCATCCCTATTTCCTTGGTCTCCCATATTGCCTTTACCCTTTTCCCTTCCTCCCATTGTTCTTTCACCCTGTCCCCTTCTTTGTATTTCTTTTCCACTTTACTCTCCTATTTCCCCTTCTTCTAAATTCTCCTTCCCACTATTTCTTGTTCCCCCATTTCTCCTTTCCCTCATTTCCCAATCTCCTAATTCTTATTTCTCATCTCCCACCTTTCTGCGAAGACCAAAAGAGTTATTTTTCCTTTTGTAAGATGAGTGTAACATTACTAAATGCTGATTTACTGAGACAGAGAGCATTTCTCATAAATTGTTCATTGCAAAATTACTTGGACTTGATTGGTTTGTTGGTTGCTTCTAAAGGTCATATTTTAACTTTCTGATAAAAGAGTAAACAAGTAATTGCATGGGGCTGAGTGAGATTAAGGATTTAGATATCACTTTTTTTTCAGAAGTTGTTGAAATTTCTTTTGTTGCTGCATGACTCAAGCATAATTATATTAATGCTTAAGTTTTCGTCACCCCATGTGATCACCAATACATGTTATTTAGAGGGGATATCGTCAGCCTCACCAAATTCTCTGAGATAAGATTGCAAAAAATGTAGGGCCAGCTGGTGAGGAGTGGTATCTAGACCTTGCTAGTGAAGTGCTAAATTTGCTGTAGTTTCTATTTAATATTTGCATTTATTATGTTTTATTCAACAATTTTATCAGGTGTCACCTCAACAAAATGATTTAATAGAGCATCATTACAGCGTGTTTGAGAGACTACAGAAAGAAAAAGCAAAAACAGAGGAGGTCTGTTTATTTATGGAATACTATGCCCAATTGCAATCATTTCTTAATTAAGAAACCTTCGAAAACAAAAATGAAAAGGAAAGTAGCCAAGTAGGAATTAACTTGTATATGAATAACCTTTCCATGATCTTGATTGTTTCAAAACAAATGCTTAGTTATTTTTATTTATTTTATGTATTTATTTTAATTTATTTGCCACGGTTCAACAAAAACTAACAACTAATCTACATTATTAAAAACTGGATCATTGGATAATGCAATGTAAGACTTTTTATTGCCTTAGCCATTATGGTATATGAGCCAATATACCATAATCTATAAATTTGGTAAGCGTACGCGTCAGCTTAAAATTAAAAGGGAGTTAAAAATTTAATAAAACTTCATAATGTGATTTAACGTTTTTAATAAAACAATTATTCCACTCGCTCTTGTTGGATATGAGATGATTATAGCCAACTCGGCGCTACGCGCCTCGTTGACTATCTATCATCTCATATCCAACGCGCGCTCGTGGAATAATTGTTAATTACACCGTTACAAGAAGAGAAAAAATGGCAGGAGAGAGGAACAGAACTTTCGTCCCAATCGAGACCTACCCCCCTAATTAACCCTTCATTTACTCCTATGAGTGATTAAGACAGAATTTTCCCCTACGAAATAGCTACAATATCAAGCAGACAAGTAACAAGAATAAAGAAGAGTATCAATTAGAAATCTAATGGAAAAAAGTTTCTGCTTTATTCTTTTCTGATTTTTTCGTTGTACTTAATGGAAGTTTTGTGCTGTTGTTTTGTGATGTTTTTGTTTTTCTCTTTACCTCTTCCAGAAAATGCGAGAGCTCATTCTTACTAGTAGTGTAAAAGTCCGAGTGAAAGATGAAAACGATATGCTGACCAAGATACTGGGTTAGTAGTAATTCTTACTTCGTAACCTTTTTTTTTCTTTATCCTCCCCCCCGCCCCTCCCCCCTTCCTTTCCTCTGTCTTACAAACGCTTGCTATCTCCTTTTACGCTTAGCAAGGGAAGTCACAGCAGACATCGTTGGAGCCAGCTATTAAAAATGAATTTCGATACTTATTTGTGACAAACTTTGCAGCTAAAGGAGTCAGTTTGAAGGAGTCTGCGAAACTTTTTTGGCTCTGCGTCTCATACAACAACTACAAAGATCGAAGCCGTGTGAATCAACACGACCCTTGAGCAACCTACTTGTGGCTCAGCCAATCCCAGCGGTCATTCCGACCTCAGTATTAGCAACGTCGCCTGTTCTCTGGGACACAGAAGATGAAACCTTTAGCTCGATAAGCTTTTATTTTCTCATCTCGTATTGTACATGAGTAAAGTAGGTGATATTATAAAAATAATTTCAATATCCATCAACTTCTTTTCAAAGCTGAAGAGACCAGCGTTAGATATGTCCTCCACAGAAGCTTCAGCGATCCTAGACTCTGTGCACGAGGTGACCAAAGTGTTTGGATGTAATCTAGAAAATTATGTGAAAGTAAGTATACATACGGTATATCAGATCGTATCATGCAGTTCTTATGTACTCATTGCATAAAAATATCCGCCCTTGCAATTGTTTCAGTCGTTTACTGACTTTCGCCATCTTGCTTTTTTCCTTTCCATGAGCATCTCCGCTGTGCGAATCTATTACTGACGCAAATTAACAACAAATAGTTGAAATAGTTGTCGAGCCATCTACAAGGGTAAATAAAAATTGCCACATACAGTTGCCAGAAAAAAATTGCTCTTGTAGACTGGGCTTAAAACTAGTCCTTGCATTTGCTCACGTCAGCAGCGTACACCCATGGGCAAATGGTGGACGCTGGATTGACCAATCAGAATGCGCGCTTTGCTTTGGTTATGTTATAATAGTTTTTGTGAACAGTGTCAAGGATATTTATTTAAATAAATCAAACCTCTTAGAGAATCCCTGAGGTCCACTGCTTGCGTAAAACAGCAGTTTGGGTTGGATCTCGTGTAAATAACCGGTGCTGAGTGACTGACTTTTAATTTCTCCATCATCCCCCAGTTCACATTATCAAGAATTCATCAAAACTAGCTGTAAGTATTTCGTCATGCTGTCCAATGAAGGTGTTTTCTCTATTCTTAATAAGAATGTAGTCTCCTGCTGGTTTTTAACCGTGGATAGTGAGTGAGAGAAAAACAGTAGATGCTGGTGTTATTAAGAGAGGGATTTTGTACAACAACCAGTAATGAGCGCGGGAAATTCAATCGTGCAATAAAGTAATTCTGCGTGAAGAACGGGAAACCCATAACTTTTTCAAGAGCGGGAAATAAGAAACCCCCGCTCATGTCAGGCGCGGGAAAGGCTAACCCTTTGAAATTAGCGCGAAATTATGAAACACTGAACTCGTGTCCAGGGCGTGAGATATGAAACCGTCCCCGGCCAACAGTACGAAATTATACGATCAATGCCAAGGGCGGAATAATGTGTAACTTGTGCCTAGGATGGAAAATTATGTTACCTTCGTCAAGATCGGGAAATATGAAACCGCTACGAACATTGGGTAATCTTGCGATTAGTGTTAAGGGCGGAGGAGCCTGTCACCGGTTCGGAGGATGGCAAATAGTCTTAGGCCCAGACAAGGGGCGGAAAATGTGCCATGTTACCCGAGGTGATCGTGTTTAGTCCACCGAGGCCAGATGATTTTGCTTAGAATATTGGATTTATGTTATTGTGAAAAACTAGTCTGAAATTTCTGAATTTTGTTCTTCAAAGATGTGTTCGTTCATTGATTATGGTGTACCATTCTTTCTTTACTTGTAGTGTCAGCTTCAGTAGAAGATGGTATTAAAGAAATTATGACTGCACTCAATTCGCTTCCTGAGTCAGTGGTTCGAGTGATGGAGTACCTGTTTTCTTTCCTTACTTGTAAGTGTTATAGGTCAAGCTTTGTTTAAAGCACGGTGAGTGGGCAGTTTTCATCGGATCGAGGATGTTACTTTATAATTTAAACGGGAGAAAGATTACTTCACTCCCACAAATCCAAATTCTTTATTAAACAACGTGTCATAAATTATCATTTTAAGTGAGAAAAAACTCCAATTGGCAACACAACAATACTGACACGAACTCGCTTTTGCCTCCCAATCTCCTCGAATTGCCCAATCTTTCAAGTATACTACTGTAGCTCTCTGTCAGTATAGCTTTTCAGACAGTCGGTTTCTGACAATAACAGCAACTGTTATTCTAACAACATGCCGGAAGCCTACAAGACAACAATTTCTGGTAGAATTACATCATAATTGCGTTACCCAGTAAAATGTTTTAGACGGTTCCATGGTATGGCATCAAAAAGTTCGAGTATTCACACCGCCGTGACAGGGCACTTTTAATTACAAATTTCCAGAAACTACCACACTACAATCACTATCCATAACATGGAATACCTGTGGAAAATTTAATATTAATATTTTTTTATGCTAAACGTTATAACTATCTCTCGGCAGAGTTTCAGAGCACAGTGATTCCAACAAGATGGACGCCCATAATCTTGCAGTAGTGTTCGGTCCAACGCTGTTACGAATTCCGTCTGAACAGGATATGATAGCATATCAGAGTCAAGTGAATGGTATGATCGAGCTACTCATTAAACATTGCGATGAGATTTTCCCTGGCTCTGGAGAAACACTACCAGCGCCTTTATCTGAGATAGAAGAGAGCGAGAGCGAGGAAGGTGAGTGATCCGAATGGAAATTCTTCGTACAACTTTCATGGAGTCCCAGGGAGAAAGATAATGAGAATTATGTCAAGTATCAGTCA